TAATCTTTCTATAAATTCATATGAGTGCGAATTTAGCCCTTTCGGTTTGAGTACAATCAAATTTAGTTTAGGGCTTTTTTACTTTTAGATTATGTTATTTTATTGGACGTTGTTATTAAAAATGGATTTGTCTGATGTATTATGGCGGTGTACTATACATAATATATTTTTGTTGTTGGTCGTCACGTTCATGCTTTTACATAAGGTTAAGTATGGACTAATTTGATTTATTAAGTAGAATTAATTTTTTCACACATTTTTTTTGTTTCTGCTAATAACATATTTTAAGGTGCTTAATATATCTCATTTCTTTGAATGGCTTCTTTGAGACTTAAAAGTTAAATTTTAGACTATTTGTCTTCAAAATAAGAAATGATTTTTCCATGTTTAAGTTTGGAAGGTGCAAAAAACTTTCTTTTCTTTTCTTAGATCATTGGTTAATCCATTGCTAGGTACGTAAGCTGGTTTTATTGGTTTAAGCTTAAGTAGACGGTGTCTCCTCTTGACGACATCACCGCCTGTAACTAGGTTCACTTGCGCACAGAAACCGTACAATTGGACAGACCGAAGTTAACCAGCAGGTATGAATTAAGTGAACAAATAAAAAGCAAAATAGATGAGTATTTCGATGTTGGAAAACAGGAGCCCAATTTCCCTGTGATTCCGTCGCAACGCATCAAAAATGAACCGGCCTCAAATCGGATGAAATTAAAAAAACACAACCAGATTAACAGGCGAGTTATCACAATGACACTGAGGTACGAAAGAACGATGTCAGAGACAGGACAGACTGTTAGCTTGGCTCTAACATTACACGAAATACAGCCAAAGAGTACAGAAGATGCATGCAGGTTAAGTGAAGCTCAGACAAGCAAGTGAGTGGCACGAAAGTGTCGGCTTCGAGGACGACGTAAACAACGTCGCGAAAAAGTGAGGCGACTCTACAACAGTCAACAGTGGCAGCCAACGCGTGTGAAGCAAGGAAGTGGAGTGGCAAAATAGGTAAAGGCAATAAAAGAAAATAAAACCAAAAAAAGAATAAGAATTATAGCCACTCTAGGTTTTCCCACAACTATATGAATATGCCTGACCTTGTGGAAAAATTCGATTTGCAGTCCTTCAGCATCACCTTGTGCGATCAAGGACGACTAAAACTAGAATTCAAGATGTACCGAAAAGTACATTCTATTAATATCAAAATGAGTTAGATAACGGCAACATAAAAAGAACATGTTTCGATGAGAAGTGTACAAACAAATAGAAAATAATGGTTCTAAAGGTGGGGATAGAGTTCACAGTCTTGACGAGATAACTGCAACCTAGGCTTCACAGAATCACACAACTTCGCATACCTCAATTCATATTAATAAGGTCAGACAACAGCAAACGGAGCCAACCCTTACAAGCACGCATGAAGAGGCCTATTGGTACGGCTAATACAACAAACAGCAGACCTCTAACTTCAAGAAAAATAATACAAAGGTCTTAATTACCTTGCCCCCTTCTCCTATATTAGCGTGATTTAGTTGATGCTACGTCTACTGGAAATGCCGTTGAGTGATGGTAAAATATTATCTCTTGTTGCTAAGGCAACGCTAACTATTTATACTTAATGAGATGTCTAAGGTGAGACGATGTAAGAGCTTTTGAAGTGAATTGGGCTAGCTTGGATTTGATTAAACAAAACATTTTCAGGATGAGAAGAGATAGAAACAAGCGTGAAGCGGTTGACGGCAAGCTTCACGGAGCAAAACAAGTATAAGCCGGAACGTCTGCTGTATGGTGTTTTTGAGGCATTGTGGTGAAGAATTGAAGAGTAGCCTTCTTGTTGTTGATTACATTTTCCTGTGTCTGTTATACAAAAACTCTTTTCTCGTCATCTTGACTCATCAGCGCCCCCAGTAGGACTTGACTACGATGCGCGTGAACTGGAGGAGGAACCAGAAAACTGAAATGCTGTAGAGTATTAACGAAATATTTAGACTTAAAAACAGATAAAGTGGCAAATACAACGCAGAGATACAACAACGAAAAAAGAAGGAAGCAAAGCTTAGGATAGCATGCTCTAGTGCAGGAAAGAGTCGGCAAAATGAGGCTACTCAATGTCATCTTGTGTGTACGATAAAAAATAAAATGCAGAAATAGGCTCGCTTGCCGTGAGTAAACGATGAGAATGCCAGGGTATCATGTAAAAGTGACCCTTTATGGCATAGCATTTCAAGATGGTACAAGAGGATCGGGCGAACTCGCAGTAAATAAACGTTGAGAGAAAAGGACAGACCGTGACATTTCGGAGGAAAAGTTGTGTGGAAGGAATCCATGAGCTGGTCTCCTAGGGAAACCGAAGGAAGATGGTCTTGAATTCGGTGAAGAAGTCCTCTGCTCAGCGTCCTGTGACTCCGATGAACCTGTATTAGGCTTTCATCTGTCATGTGGCAGACGCCGTGAGAGCAAGAAACTGTATGCGAACAGTAGCCGGGTTTCGATGAATCTCTACGGACAACCGTGTTGGGAAGACTGGCCTTCTGTATGAAAAGGCTTGACGAAAAGATTCATTTATCTGTCCTAATGGAAGACGACAACTGCCAATTCCTGTTGCTCTGCAGCCGTTTGGTTTTAATACGACTTCATGTTGACACAGTCCACGAGACATCCTCCCTCGTCGCTGATGAAACTGGGCCGAGTTATCGTCCGTCATGCCATTTTACACAATTCGGCAGAACTGAAACTTCTTTTTTGTATAAGCTTCAAGTTGGCATCCAATCAAAAAGACTATCTAAATCTATCCTACATGCCATAAAGGCATAAATGTTTCGCAACCTGACATGTGCTTCCTGTACAGGCTAACGTGTCATCAATTCGGCAAGAGGTAAAATCGGTCTTACGTAATCTCCAACACACTTTTTCTTGGTTCACTAAGCTTTAATGACCCGGTGTTGCGTGTTTTGACCAACATATGCAGAGACTTTAACACATACAAATATAAGTGCACTGATAACTATGAAATAGAACTAACCAAATTATTATATATAAATATAAATAGTTTCATTTTTCGTTATGAGTGTATACACGTTGTCGGATAGAGCCGGACAGTCTGCCTAACGCCGTAGCAACTTGAAGCTTTGGCGACAATGAGTCCTAGCTCTGAAGATGTCTGTAAAGTGGCATAACAAATAAAAGTTGGGTTTCGAGGGATCTCTTGTTTCATAATTGTTGAGCTTACTTCCATTTCGAGTGAAAGTGTTGCGTGAAGAGATTCGAAAGTCGGTTCCACCGGAAGACGATGGTGCATTCCTCTTGACCAGCTGTCGATTGGCTTTACAAGAACATTCATGCTGACGCTGTTTCCGAGACAATCTCCTTCGATTCCGGTGAAAATGTGCTGAGCTTTCGTCCGTCATATGACGAACATCATCAAAGCATGGTATCATCGTCACAAGAAAATTCACGTTTTCTTAACTCGTTAGCTTGATTTTTGTTGTGACAATGTTACCTCGTTTTGATCCGTCATATGAGCTTTCGTCCGTCATGTGACGATCGAAGGAGATTGTCTCGGAAACAGCGTCAGCATGAATGTTCGTGTAAAGCCAATCGACAGCCGGTCGAGAGGAATCCGGCGTCGTCTTCTGGTGCAACCGACCTTCGAATCTCTTCACTCAACACTTCCACTCGAAATGAAAGTAAGCTCAACAAAAGTTCATTTCGCCTACGCCCGAAACGAAGGCGAATGTCTCGTGGACTGCATCAACATGAATGTGGTAGTAAAGTCAAAGAGTTGCATAACAATGGGAATAAGTTGGCAAGATCGACTCGAGTATCTCTTCATCAGGCACTTCAGACGAAAGGAAAGTCTCTGTGACAGGAGAGGGATACTTTTGCAGATGTGAAGACCAAGATGGTGTGTACTTCTGTTTGGTCGCAGCCTATAAAGTCGAACCAACACTAGAAGGATCATTTGAATGGGCGAATCAAGAGTGACGACCTGAGAAGGACTAAGAGGAATAGAGACGCGCAAACATACATTTATGTATGCTCATGCAAGGGAGCGTGCATCTTCAGGAATCTGGGAGCGCCAAAGCGAGTGAATGAGACGGAGTAGTGAAGTAGAAAGGGCCCAACCCAAGGACACCATTTTCTACAGCATGCATCAGAGAAATGGCCGAAAAGAATATGCGAGTGAGGACAGCATCAACGCCAACTGGGCCAAGCTGGTGAAAAAAAAGAGGGGAAAATTTGAGCAGACAGAAGAAGGCGAAGGAGGAGAATCGAGTTTACCTGAGAGGTACCGGTAAGCTTGTCTTGCAGGAGGAGCAACACCGTCGGTGGGCGAATAAAATCGCGACGGTTGATCGAAGGATACTGGAACAGATCGAGTTGCTGACAGAATGCGAATTAAGAAACGATGTTTTTTGGAAGAGGCAAGGAGAGCACACAAAGGAAGAAACAATGAATGAAAGATAGACAGACAGATAGATAGATAGATAGACGGACAGATATATAAATAGAAGAATGGATAGAGATGGCGAGAGAGAGAGAGCGAGAAAGGAAAAAATTAGGAAAATAAAATGATAATGTAAAGGAGTAGAAGAGAGAATCAGTAAATGGGGAGCAGGCCACCACAAAAGTTGAACAATAAATGGGTAGAGTTGGGCTTCGAACAAGTAAACGACGTTGTGTTTTGCATTGTGGGTTCGCGATGATAAGAAGTAACTGTCCCAAAGCAG